AGCTCAGGGGTATTGAATGAGTTGATTACTCATAAGAAAAAGGAGCCAGGAGACAAGTGTGTGGAAAAAATGATTTGTGGAAGCCTACTTTCAACTGAAGAGCGAGGTGCATCACAGTCCCCCAGCTCTGAGCTCACCAGCATTATTTAGCAGCTGGACTAGGCTATGGAGGATCCTGCACCTAAGTGATTTATATGTTCCATACACCAGGGCAATGAAACAATGTATGAATTTCTAAGGTGCGCCTCATGTTCGGGTTGCAACACATCTGAAGGTCACACTGAGCAGCTGTGGTGTGAAAAATAGCTTTACACATGAAGTTGAACAGGAGACACAAAGGTACTGAGAAGTGATAGATGGCCAAATCTAGCAAGCATGTAATTCTTGCAACATTAAATTAGAAAAAGCTGGTGAGGCCAGGCCCATAGAGCATGGCCTCCTGTCCAGCTCTGCTTCAATCCAGCTTTGTTTGCTTGTAAAGCCTTGATGCTTGGCTCTCAGTGATGATGCTTCCGGCAGATTGCCAGGTAAGCATAAGATCCATGCCCGTTGAGCGCTGGCTAGCATCCTTTGTTGCTACAAATTGTGGAGTAATGAGAAAATGGGTAATGACCTGGAGAGGATGTTCGACTTTATGAATAAGAAATCTCTGTGGGAACCAGAAGGCTGTCATGTGACCAGCTGGAGCCACACTTATCTAATGGTCACACACACTTTTGTCCGGTACCTGATGCTGTTACGCTGTGACTTCCAGATCCTTGCAATGGACAGAAATGACTCATTGTTCTCGCTCTGTTTTTTCATAAAGAGGACACTACAGCTTCTCTGTCATCTTCTGTTTCAGGGTACAGATACACAAATTACAGTGAGCTAAAATCTGAAGCTAGAGGTGACAATCTATGCCAGTCTGAAATCAGGCAGAAGTTAAGGCAGGGGGCTTCAGAGACTAACTGCTTCAAAGGCATGGGCTTTTGAAGGCAACAACCTACTCCACATCAGATACCTTCCATGTGCCTGCTGCTCTGTGGTAACTGTCCACAGGCCCGTTCTTACAGTGAGATAAGAGAGAGCTAACCTGTAGAAACTTAGCCATGTTCCACGGAGGTAAGCAGGCCAGAGTTAGCCTACACTTACTGTGGGGTAAGAGCAAGTGTTGCATGGGGAGTCCTTACCGCCTTTTTAACTTTCTGTAATTTATTCCTTTATTCCTATGCATTTCACGGTCATGAATGAAATCTGCTTCACAACACCCTTAGGAGGAAGTCTCATCCTTGCTTTATGGATAGAGACATGGAAGCAGAGAGAGGTTATTTGCCCCGTGCCCCACAGAAGGCAATGCCATGTTTGGGAAGAGAACCCATACCCCTTGACTTCTGCCCCCTTGCTGTCTATGACCTTTCATATGAGCAAGTGGGCATGACCTTTAAGTTAGAGCAATAAAAGTTAGAGGAGATGAGCCATAACTAATATATATATAGAAATAATTGTCAGGATCACCAAGCTCAGAGGGTAGTAATTGTTGGCTTCAGTTGGCAGCTGGTATCAAATGGTGTGCCCCAGGGTTCAGTCCTGGGGCTGGTTTTATTCAATATCTTCATCAGTGACCCGGAAGATGGGATGCGGTGCAGCCTCAACAGGTCTACAGGAGACACCAAGCTGGAGGGAGCAGTAGATACACTGGAAAGTAGAGCTAGGATTCAGAGCCATAGACAAATTGGAGGATTAGAGCAAAAGAAATCTCATCAGGTTCAGTGAGGACAAGTGCAAAGTCTTGCACTAAGGACGGAACAATCTCACACACTGGTACAGGCTGGGGACTGACAGGCTAAGCAGAGCTCTGCAGAAAAGGACTTGCGGGTTACAGGGGACAATCAGATGAACATGAGCCAACAGTGCACCCATCTTGCAAAAAAGGCTAAAGGCGTACTGGGCTGCATTAGTAGGAGTGTTGCCAGCAGAGTGGGGGAAGCGATTCTTCCTCTCAATTTGGCACTGTTGAGGCCACACCTAGAGTCCTGTGTCTAGTTTTGGGCCCCCCAGTACAGAAAAGATGTAGACAAATTGGAGAGAATCCAGCAAAGGGCAATGAAAATGGCTAGGGGGCTGGGGGACATGACTTAAGGAGGACAGGCTGAGCGAACTGGCCTTATTTAGTTTGGAGAAGAGAAGACTGAGGAGGATTTAATAACAGATTTCAACTACCTGAAGGGGGAGTTCGAAGGAGGATGGAGCTAGACTGCTCTCAGTGGTGGCAGATGACAGAAGAAGGAGCACTGGTCTCAGGTTGCAGCAAGGGAAGTTTAGGTTAGATATTAGGAAAAAAACCCTCTCACCAGGAGGGTAGTAAAGCACTGGACAGGTCACAGAGAGAGGTGGTGGAATCTCCATTCTTGGAGGTTTTAAGACTTGGCTAGACAGAGCCCTGGCTAGGATGATATATTTGGGGATGCTCCTGCTCTGAACAGGGGGTTGGACTAGATGACCTCCTGAGGTCCCTTCTAACTCTCATTTTCTATGATTCTATGAAAGAAACTGCAAAAGGGCCCAATAGTTAACAATAATGTGCTGGTCTGTATGAAAAGCAAATCTACTTTACAACCTCAGAATTAGGTAAGACAGGAGCCCATTTCATAAAATTCACTGTAACCAATTAAGTTTGGCCCAGTAACATACAAGGCTAATAAAAAAGTCCTAGTGAATGTTAATGACAATTGCAAAATAATACATTCCCAGTAGTGGCCTCAAACACAGGGCAATAATATTTTATACTTGAATACTGCTAACCCCCTAATCATTTACAGTTGTCCAAAGTATTTATGCTTAAATGGTCCAAACCATTAACCAAGTCTAATGATATGCAAGGGAAAAAAAGAGACTTGATTGTGTGACAGCCTTTGAGCATCAGCTGCACTTTAATAATTAGAAGCCCTCATCACTGGAGGGAATTGATACATTATTGTTAGCTGGAACCTGCACAGCAGGCCTTTCTCCTGCAGAGAAATGCCTTGCCCTGTTGCCAAAAGAGCTAGGCACGCACACAAAGAGAAGTGGCATCCTTACATTTACTAAATACTGAGCTCTTCAATGCAGCTGTTCTCTGGATTCATGATTTTCCAGCACAAGCTTGTGATAAACACTGCCAGCTCGACAAGGACATTCAGTACTTAAAAATCCTAAACCCTAGGGCTGCAACATTAGCAGTTTCCATTATATTCTTTTCCCATTTGCTCTTCCCAGCATAAATCGACCTACCAAAAGTGGGACACAGAGCAATCCTGCTCTCTGAAGCCCAGAGCTTCAAATGCAATAGCAAATCTGATATTTTGAAGCCCATCTTGTGAGCTGCAGCACCTGGCAGAAGACTCTTTCAGTAGGTGACTTCCATGCCCAGCACTGGTCTCAATATTTGTGCCCCTTTTTTTCCCCCCTTCCCTCAGACTCTTTCCATGCAAAACCAGCATGGGAAAGAGCACCTGCCCAGATGTCCTATCAATATTCTTTTCAGTCTGCAGAGAAGGGGCAACTATAATGCAAGTGGGAAACATTTCTTCTTTCACAGTACAGCTTGCCCAGGTGCATAAGGTGGGGAAAGGAGGTGACTGTGGTTCAGTAGAAATAGTCCCAAGCAATGATATCTTTTTCAGAGGTTTTGCTGTGCATCCTTTTCTAGAGTGTGAGCAAAGGACATCTGCTCCTAAAGCCATTTCATAAGCTTGCACTAAAGGCTTTACTTGGGGTCAGATGGACCGCCGTGGGCAGTTCCTATTTGCTGCTTTTTAAGCAGGAGGAAGAAACCAGCTCTCTGAACAGGGCACAGGAACTGTAGCAGTGTGCACTTTAACCCTGACTTTGACACAAATAGGTGATGTTTTTTTCCGTTCTGTTTTTAGGCTGTTTGTACAGTTCAAATCCTCACTAAGCAGCCTGTCTCTGGGTGACTACACTGGGAGGGACACAGAGGCACCACTTTCCCATGGCAGACACTACAGCACTGTCTGGAGTGCAACGTCACACCTGCAGGCTAGAACACAGTAATTACTGTAACAGCATTTGCCTACTGCCTCTTCTCATGGGAGATCAGTAGCAGGGAGGTGAACTTCATACAGGAAAACAGTGTCTAAGCTGCTTAGTTTTACTGAACTGGTAACAAAAGGCACAGGGGGTGATGTATAATTCTAAAGATAGCTAAAACTATAACCAAAGCTAGATCAGGTCCATCATGGACAACACAGGAATAACTTTAATGGAGGGAGAACAGAGAAATCAGAAACTTGAGCACCAAAAACAGTATAGGACTAAGCCAGGTGGCCCCAGTACTATTTTAATGCTGCTGTTTCCGCAGGGCATCTATACACATGCTCCGGGTTGGAGGGAGGTGCGCTTTAATTAGAACAGTGCTTAGAGCCGCTCTAATTAAAGTGCCCACAGTATCACATGTATTCAGTGCCCCACTCTTCAAAATGGTGGCAGGGGCACTTTAACTAAAGCTCATTCAATGCTGAATACATGAGATGCTGGATACACATGGCATGGAGGCTGTTGGAGCACACTAATTAGCAAACTCCAGAAGACTTGCAACAGGCTTGATTAATCAAGTTTGCTCTGATGTGTGCTAATTATGATGAGTCAGAGCACAGCTCTGTCACATGTATAGGTATGCACAGTGCCCTAAGGCAGGGATGTCCAACACTGGCTCATGGGCTGCACATGGCTCAGGGGGGCCTGTGGCTTGCTCTACTGTGGCTCCAGACACCTAGAAGTTGGGCAGCCCTAGGGGATGTGGAGTCAGAGAGTGCTGGATAACAGAGGGTACTAGGAACAGAGCTATAATGAAACCAAAAATAGAAGGAAAAAACCACACTATGGACTGTAGGTGCCAAGTGTGAAGGTTAATTCTCTTTGATAAACTCAGAGAAGGCTTGCAGACCTAGAGTAAGGCTATGCGATTTAAATGTGAATTTCCCTGTTGTTACTATTTTAAATATCTTTTTTTTCCTTGGCACAGTCACCTCTATGTGAGATCAGATTTAGCTTAGAGACTCTTTCACTCCATCATCAATGCTACATTGCAGTTACTGTACTTAGTTTCCACATGGCTTCAATCTTTTATCACTCTGAAAGCTGCAGCGGCATGTATTACTGAAAGGTATGAAATGAAAGCAATGCAATAAAAGTCTGTTTTTTTTCTTAAAGTGCCTTATTTCCTTTTGCGCTTTTTAAAATGTTTTCCTTACATTTTAAAATGAAGAGGGGGAAAAAAAAAAAGAATACTGGTTTTATATGAAACAAAGTAGAAAATTAATCAATATTTACACAGATCTTGGACAAGGCTATGGCAGGAACTAAAAACCCCAAAGCAGAGTGTCAAAAGGAAGGAAAAAACCTGCTCATACGCTTTCAACACCATCCCTTGGAGATCCCTAGTGTAAACCGTTTTATCTATAAAAAGGCATTTTACTGAGACTCCAGTCATCGGAGTTGATTACAGCCATATTTTAAAACTAGCGCCGTGCGTGTGGGTGGGCGAGCCACCTTTTGACCTCTCCAGGAATAGAGTATGGGTTTAGACAAGTTCAACTTTAGCATTTGGATAAACAGCTACCACGTCATAGCCTTCTGGGGGCTTAACCCTTTCCTTTGCATGTGTTTCGCAGTACAGCTGCTCCTCAATGAAGAAATACCCCCTATGCTTCAGGTTTAGGCCACAGTCATCGCACATGAAGCATTCTGGGTGGTAGAGCTTGTCCCGGGCTTTGACGATCGTTCCTCTGTGGAAAGCAGGAGAAAGAAGACTAAAAACTAAGCTCTGTGTCACAGCAGCAGCAAGCGTGTCCCGCGGAAAAAGGAAACGTGGAAATAAAGGGCTTTGTGAGACGTCTACAATCTTTCACACTGTGGCTTTGAGAGACATCTACAATTTTGTCCACCTCCCTGGTCTCCACGATACTGTCTTTGCTCCCTTTGCTAGCCATCTAAGGTCTTTCCCTCTAGTCAACCCTCTAGTCATATAATGGCTTACATGCTTCAGCCCTTAGACTTCCCACTTCCCAAATGCCTTGTGGCTTCCTCACCTCTTGCCTAGCTCTCCCCATGGTTTCCTTCTTCCTGCACACCGCTTCTGCAACACCCTTCCCATGCCAGGGTGGCTATCTGGCACCGTGTCCCGCAAAAATTCATGCCTTGTGTAATGCCTTATTCCTGTTTTGGATCTTACGCCCAGGCACTGGTTGGCAAAAAAGACCAGTCAGCCTCTGCCATGAATTTTAGCATATGCACTTCTATTAGGTGAATGGAGCAGTTAAATGCCTGTGGACAGCTAACAGCTTTGCTCTACTCCACGGTATTACAGAACTTGAACACTGTCACCCAGCATGTACTTACACAATCCCGTTTCCACATCGGGTGCACTCGGGAAGCATTTGCAATCCAGACATGGCACCGCCAAGTTTTGATACTGGCGATTTGATGTTTCGAGGGCCAGCCATCCTATTGTGTTTTTCACCTACCAAAAGTTTTGAAAAGATACAGGTTGAAAGCTGTCCCCTTCTAAAAAAGTCAGGCGATTATGTTTCTTCCTGGGAAAACATGCTATCTCGAAAGGGCAGCAACAATTATTTCTTGCCATTTGCTAATAAGAGAACCATAAAGAAAGTGGAGGAGCCAATTAGACTATAACAAGCTGAGTGTTGACCTTCACAGAAAAGTGACTGGCCTCACACAAATCCTTTGATCATCATGAGGAAGCCAGGATGGAGCCTTTGGGGCTGGCACTGAACTGCTCAGAGGGATAGCAATGAAACAAATGTAGCCCAACCATTAATTACATCCTGATCTAAACATGCACCATCAAGGATGGGCTGAGCCCTCTCATCCAAACAGACCAGAACTGAATTTGGCTGTGCGATTCGGCCGGGAGCTAAGAGACAAGTACAGTGAGAGAAAAGGTCTGCTGGTGAAAAAAAAAGGAGTAAAAGCAAGGGAGAGGAAGATATATCCAAGATGTATTTTGATCTATGACCACTCCAAGAGAAAAAAAGATGAACAACTTTTTCAGTATAAACCAAAACCACACAAAACCAAAATGTTTAAACAAACACAGTTATATGAATTTCTCTTCTTAGGAATTGTATTTGTTTTATTATGTCTGTCAGGAGCTGAGAAGATTTTTGAGACCCTAAAGTAAAACAGCACATTCAAAACTGACCCTTCCCACCCCCCCGCTTTCATATTTGGTTTTGTTTTACGCTGGATACCAGCCAAGAGAAAGGAAGCAATGAAAGCTTTATGCCTGTGACTAGTACACTTGCAAAGCGTGGAGAGTAACCAGGCGCTCACACTGTAATCACACACGTATGTCTACCTTGAGGACAACTGGCAATCAAAAAACTGCAAGATCCTTTGTAATCCCTAAGATCACAGCTGCCATTTCGAGCGTGCATGCCACCAAGCCTTCAGTCAGCAACCCAGCCCTATTCAGCCAACCACTTAAGCATGTGGTTAAGTTTAGGCAGTGCTTACATTCCTTCATGACTTACATGACTTCAGTGAGACTTTAGGACGTGGAGAGTACTTCACTGAGTAAAGAATAGATACCTAAGCCCCCACACATCTATTTTTGAACCTTTAAGCTTGATCTAACTCTAAAATGCCTCATCTTAGTATCTAAGCAAGTTCATTCTCAGCATTTTAGTTGCTCAGTGTTTAATTATGCCAAGTGGTTTACCATACTTTGGATGGATTTATACAATGTATTTCTGAACTGCACAACTCAGTAGCGCTTCCTTCCCTTCTTGTTTAGAATTTGCTTCCTGCAATGATCTGGGGATGAGAAACACGCCACACGTCTCTTCAACAATGTAGGTGTAATGGGAAGGGGAACTTTTCCAGCTTTTGGCATAAGCCTGGGCATGTTCCTTCCCACTCCTATAACTGTTGCCAGCACACCTGCAGTTTCATCTTTTTTCAAAGCTCTTTGCCTTTAATGTAGGGCAGCTACTATATGACAGCATTAGCGGGTGAACAAAAGGGCCTAAAAATGGCCTTACCCCACAAAGTTAGGGTCTGCAGGCGTTTAAAGTGTTCTTCTCACCTTGCAGTGATAGCATTGACCTACAGTCCATGCTGCTCATCCAAAGTATGCTAGGATCATGGTTTGATAGTCAGACAATTAAGATCAGGAAGGGGGGGGGTCAAAGATCGTTTGACCCCAGTACTTTTTCCTGCCACAGCAGGGGGTCAGATTAGATGATCTGCTCAGGTCCCTTCCAACCCTACCAACTATGAAACTATATGAAACTATGAAGACTATGCTCCCACCAAAGCCCCTGCTCCAAAATAAAATAAAATAAAATAAAATAAAATGTTAAAGTTTTGAGAAAAGTTGGAATAAAAGAGCCCTTCAGTATGGGCAAGACTGGCTGACCGAGGAACACCCTGAGATTTATGCTCTGCAGGCCCCTTGCATGCTTGGTTGGACTCAAGCAAAACTTGTTTGCCACCTTGGTGAATATGAACCAAACAATTGTGCACGCTGTTAATTTCTCACAGCTCTGAGATAAGCCATAACTTCGTTTGCCAGTTTTTAAACGTTTACTGCACTACATGGGAAGCTGCTGTTGTTCCTAAGGGAAGAAACTTGTGGAATGAAGTGTTTACAGCAGAGCTGAGGAGCGGGAGAGATTTTATAGTAAGGCAGGACCTTCACAGTGAGAACTGGAATGATGGGTCCTTTCTCTCTGCTTTTGCAGGCACAAAGCCCCATACTAATTTATGTTCCTCAGCTAGGCAGCTACATAGTTGAACTAACCGATCTTGAACATTCTTGTCTAGGCTTTGTGGTCAGAGCACTCATCTTTCATGGTTGACGGGCACCCACCGAGGCAACTGATAAGTTTCTTTACAAATCCTGTAAGAGCCTCAGCAGGAAGGATTTCTTATTAGAGGCACAGTGTGGTATTGTTCATGATTAAGAAAAAATCCTGCTTCTACCTGGAACATTTCACATATATTCCAGATCTTCATATGAAACCCCAAGTCCACTAAAGTCATGGAGCTCATGACTTTAAAGAGAAAATGCACCCTAAACTCGGACCCCCTAAACTGTCTATATTTTGGTACAAAGAACAAGGAATAGGAAGGACTTAACCTCCTAGGAAGGTTAGAAGCTTTTTCAGATATTTCAAAGATTCCAAATGAAACCAAATCTCTTAAACTGAAACATTTCCCCAGAGTAATGACAATTCCCAATACTTCTGCATCAGAGCACAGAGGTGTAATTCGTTAGAAAACAAACTTGAGAGAAACTGAAGAGTCTAATTTCAACTGTCTAAGGCAAGTGAAATACAGAAAGAGGCTAAAGGAAATAAAAGTTCAGATTGCAAAAATCCATAATGATCCAAGTTCTATGTTCCCTAAGTCTCCTTTCAGACGGGAGTATTTAATTTTAAATCTTTTATTAAATAAACCTCAGTAACTTTACAATCGTATAGGGCCCAAAACTGATTCCATAGTTGCAGACTGTGTCACGATAATGTAAAAATCATTAGAAGCTGAGCAGCAGGTTTAACCTGACTGAGAGAGAAGGGATGTTGTTGGCTAAAGGCCAGAAACTTGCTCGCTGATCTTCTGGTTGGTATTGGTCATCGATTTTATAGCTCCAGACCCCAATTCAGGGTGTTGCCACAATACCACGAGGCTCGCATTACAAAACCCCTAATGAAGGAGAAGAGGGGACAATTCCTCAAATGGTATTGCGCTTTTAAAACACCCTGTTAAAGCCTTGGAACAAGCAAGGTCCCTGTGTGCTCAATACTTTCCATCAAGAAAGGAGGGGAGGAAAATACAGTCCTTACCAAGCACTGATTCAGTCACTTTCTGCTCTCTCTCTCCTAGTAAGGAAGCTTTGGCTTTTGGCTCTGAATGATTAGTACTTTGTGGGAAGATCTGAAGGTACGGTCAGAGCCTGGTATTAGTGCCAGTTCACTGTGCCACCCTTGAATGCCAGGGAACGTCCATGCCCGGGCTACTACTGCTCGTGCTTTCCTTAAGGCCCTTCTCCTGCCAGTCAGTCCTTGAAAATGTCAATAGCTGCTACAGTGAAAGCTTATGCACAGGCCTTCTGTCACAAACCCATGACTACAGACTTATCACTTGCTTGAAGACACCCAGTCCCCCTGTAGCTGTGCCACGTACAGTGTTCAGTGGATGCCCTTGGGGCTTCCATTTGTCCTGTCACAGTCACTTGCCTCTGGCAGGAGATTGGTAGCAACTTTTTAAGTAAAGTGAGACAGCAAATTAGAGAGAACCCCAGATATGGCTTCCATCCTTGAGCCATACCACAGAGGTATGAATGTAGTTGGCTGGAATTGGGTGCTTTGGAGCAAAGGGGAGCCGGACTTGTTCAACTCAAGCCAACTGTGGCCACAAGGCTGGAGGTTGGCAAACTCTCTTATGGACCCTCAAAAGCCACTGCCATCTCCAAAGCACTGTGACCCTTAAGAAGTCAAAGGTCTCTACAAATGTGCAGGCTTGATCCACTGATTCTTGCTTGAACTGATGTCAGTGTCAGACTTGTGAATGAAGTCCCACAACAGCCTTTTATGGTCAGAATGGATCATCTAACACGTAGGGAAAGCAAGGAAAATGTAGCTTACTACATTGCCAACTCTCACAATCTGATCACAGTATTGGGTGCTTTCCACGGGGCTCTGGCTCCTGAATTCATGTGATTAGGAGAGGATCTCTGTTTATTAAATACACTTATAGCCCTGACTGTAGAGAAAACCTTGAAAAAATGGAGCCCCCAAAGCCCAAATTTCTACATGCAAATAAAAAGAGTACAACATTTATTGTTTAAAATGTCAAGGTTCTTGGGGTCTGCCTCAGGATTTGTGAGTGTTGAGGGCTGGCAAACCTGGGTTATATTAAATCATTTGTTCTCAGAGAAGTTAGTTGCAGACCTGGGAATCAAACTAGGATCTTCTGACTTCCGTTCCTATATTTCTCAAGACTATCCATTCCCTTACATAAATGCCACTTATTTGAACAGGCAAATAATATTCTATTATGTACTGAGACAGCAGGTCTAAAAATATTAACATTTAACTGGATGCCTATGGGGAAAGAGCTACAGAGCTGATAAGGTTGCAACTCTGGGTCGCTTCCACAGGATGTCCAAATCAGCCCAAAGCTGCTGACTTGAATGCTGACTTGAGATGTGCATTCAAGCACCCAGGCCTGTAACCAGAGCTCTGAAAGTTCATTGCTGGAAGGGTCTATGCTGCAACTCTCGGCACAAAGGAGATGAGCTTCAAAACAGCAGGAACAAGAGGAGTCAGTTTCCCAGGTTCTTTTAAAAAGCCTGACAAGTTTGGGATATGACTCAAGAGGGAGAGAGCTACAAAGTGGCATCACAAGGGATAACAAGTCTCAGGCCAGGACTCCAAATCTCCAAATGTGAAGCCTAAAGGCAAGCTGCCCTCCGCATAAGGGTAGGGAGAATTAAGCTGAGGCTAATCCCTAATATGTCAGGACCCAAGCAATGTCCTTGCACCCTTTTTTGCTTTGGTTTCTTTTCAGTTTCCAGCATAAAGAGCAAAAGAAAGCTGCTGGCAGGGTCAGTTGCTGAGGTGGTTTGTGGTTCAGGACACAGTAGAGCCAGAAGCATTTGGGAAACAGCTCTCTGCAAAGCAAGTGAAGCTGAGGTCACTCGCTCTGTCTGAGAACAGACGGAAGTGGGAGGGGTGGAAATTCAGCCTTTGAAGTATCCCAGAGACACTCCCTTACAGACACACACTCTGTCTGCAGGAGTCTAATGCTGTGCAGCAAATGCTGATCTCTTAAGTGGGCCAGACACATCAGACTAGGCTGGCTGATGAAATCAGGGCTGTGGCTTCGTCATACAGCTCAATACATTCCTTTCCAGGCACTTACGTAAGTGTTGATGCAGCTACATATAACCCAGAACAGTTTGAAGTCTGGGTTGCAGAGGTCCCTGCCCACATGTGCAGTGTGAATGAAAACATGGAAAGAGCCTTCCTCACTTGCACCTCTGGCACAGCTAGTGTGGATGTCTTCTGGTGGCGGCAAGCCTTCAAGGATAGCTAGAAATGACAGTTCACTGGCTAGGACAATATGCAAAGACTTGAGTGATCTAGGTTCAATTCCATATGGGACCCAGGCAAGTCACTCAGACCCTCTCGGCCTCAGTTTCCACCAGTAATATGCAAGAGCGCTTTAAAGATAAATGCATAAAACACTGCAAGGTGCTCTTAGGTTACAGCAATAGACTACAAAGTTGTGCCCATTACAGAAGGTGGCATGGCCTGACATCACGTGCCACTCATCACTGCAGTGGATACAGCGGTAATGGGAAGGTGACGACACTTCACAGACTTTCAAGGCCTGTATGAGCTCATCAAAGAAATCTAGCAAAGGCAGCATAGACTCCTGCCTAGCCTGTTCTGATGGGAAGCACAACTAACAATGTGGGGATAGCCACCTTTCCCCATGCTAAAGTGCCAGTCAACTCTGAACACAGGCACTGACATACCAGTTGAGCAGCTTCTTCATTCAGAAGGACTTTAAGTATCTGTGGGCCATAAAAACAAATGACTTCTATTTGCCTGAATGATGTCAAAGAGATTTGAGTAGCAGGGCTGTGAAAAACATTTAGCCAACTGACTCTAGAGAGGAAAGAGAGGTGCTGAAATGTGTGTTTTGAAGGGGCCTTAGGATAGTTTTCTTGTGGTTAGGACATGGGATATTTTAAACAACACAAGGAATCTGAGAACCATTGAGTTTTCAGAGGTGTGGGAGACTCACTGGAAAACATTCCAGGTATAAACAGTCGGAAGCACCATCTTCCTTACCATTCTCCCCAGCTTCTAACATGCCTTGCAAATATCGGAAAGATCCAGACTGCTTAGGCTCTGAGACTGGCTTTTCATAATCCTGAAGCATCTTGTACACATCTGACTCCATGTCGATCCCATTTCTGCTCCGTGGAAGGGACCTCAAAGGGTCAGCACTGTTTGAAAACAAAGGAATGTCAATGTCAAGAGCTAATCAACCCTTGAACAGGTGCAGGAACAAAAACATCAGCTGATTAGAGATGGGCAAACTTCCTGGAGCTTAAGGTTCTGCAACCTGCCCCAAACATTTTGAGACAAATAAGCCTGCATCTGATGGAAACTCTACAGCTGTAAATTAAATCCATGTTTATTTTCATAGTGATTCAATTAATCACCCTTCCCCTGCCCTGGGGAAGCCTGCTTTAGGGAAACAGTTGTGCAAGGCATGAAAGATAAATGTGTATGTTGCTTGTTCTTCTACTGAGCAACATAATGAAGACTCAACCAGCTCCAAAATCTCCTGGAGAGAGGGCAGCTGCTAAAAAGCATTGTAAATTGCTACACATGGAACATATTGAAAAAATGCATAAAATAATGCATTAAATTAATGATTTGGGGCATTGGAAGCCACCAAATCCTTGCTAGAATATCTGGCATCAGGGATACTATTTGTTGTTGCCAGCCAGAGCCCCAATGGGATATGACGTTATCTTAAATAAATGCACCTTTTCTAATGCAGCTTCCTTCTAGGTGATTCCAACTTTAAAAGGCACGTTCATGGGTCATACTGCTGGACCACAGCAAGTGAGAAATAGGCAAGTTAAGAAAATGCCCTATGTTATGGCTCTGTCCCCCATCTCCTTTGATCTCCTTCGACTGGAAGCCCTCTGGGGCATGTGAGACTGCTTTCACATCTGCTTGCAAGGCAACCAGCACAATACTGGGGACAATTTAAATGATATTGCAATAAAACAATAAATAGTAAATCCAGGCCCCAATCCATCACTCCATCCCTACACAGCAAAGCAAATCTTTTGAAATGTAGGTCCCAGTGACTTCAAAGAGACTTTAGCTTAAGTGCTTGCTGAATGGGGATGGACTTAAGGTATGCATTTAAATGTTCTACTAAACCAAGGCCTAATACAGTTCCTTGGTGAAAGCAGTTTGTCTGCAAGGATCCAAGCATATAAAGATACTAAAAACAGCAAGAGCACTTAATTCTGTCAGGCTGCTTAACATATTTTAACTGCAATCGGACTCACTGTCTCCACTGGCATTGTATTTACATAGACACAAAAATCAAACAAAATTCAGTTTGACAACTGCCCAAGACTGCATGCTGTAGAAGTGATCTGCGTCTCAAAGTCTGGCTGGTCACAATGTGCATGTGGTGGGATATAATTTAGGAACTCCAGGCTAAACTTCCAAGATCAGACAAGAGTGTATCTTGTTTTCACAGTTCGCCCTGTGGGACTGGACTGCTCGGCAATTCCCGAGTCCTCCAAAGGCCGCGACGTCAATGAATTCTGGAGACACAGAGGAAGGGCTGCTGCTGAGCACTGATGGGTGCGGTCGGAAGCTGCTGAAGCTGCCGACGCTGGGAGGTATGTTATCTATGCCAGTTGTTCTGGTGTCTTGCACACAAGTTCAGTGCTATTTAATGACCTTGCTAAAACTCGCTCATCCCTCACTTGATATGTTTTCAACAAGGAAGTAAATCTGTGTTTTATCAGATCCAGGCAGGCTGCAGACTTGGAAAAGACTGCGCTCATTGACCCAATACTGAACCTACAACTGGGTTCAAAATTAGGCAAAAACATGTTTGCTCACTGCTGAAGTTAAATCTCCCTATTTTTTAGCCAATATACACAAAAAAGACCCATTTTGTTCCCAGTGATTTCAGTGCAATTCCCAGGACTTCCAACCTTATTAACTTCAGTGGAGCTGCATAGGGGTAACAGAGCAGAACATGGCTGATACTTTTACTGGAGTGTGAATTTGGACAGGCATGCAGCACTTCATGATGTGGAAAAACAAATCTTCATGTTGTTTTGAACTGGTGTGAGCATTATTTCTCATTTAGATTATTTTAATGGCTCTTGTGCAGTATATATTAGTAACACCTGGAGGCGTGTGAAAATACACCACTCCAAATGTTGGTCCCCATCAAAGTTTAAGATACTCGTCTGAGCTGTGTGTGTTTTCATTTCTAAAAGCGTGAATATCTCTCTGCTTTCCCAACAGCTGCTTTAACCCAACCTAGACTTTGCCAGTTTATTTAGTTTAATTTTTATGAAAACAATCTCCGGGGCTTCACTTGAAAGTCTGCAGAAGAACAATCCTGGCTTCTTCTTCAAAATACAATCAGGACCAGGAAATGTACTGGTGAATACTGGGGTCTCAGGTCTCAAACTAGGAACCTCTGACATGTACGATAAGCTTAGGTCTATCAGCTTTATCCCCCACTGGAATCTAAACCAGGGCTTGCCAGCCTACTACTGCATTTATTTGAATCCAAGACAAGGTTCCCCCCAACCCCACCAATCAACAAAGGGGCGAGCAGGAGAGCCTGGTCTTGGATTCAAATATTGGCCCAAGGCAGGCTCAGTTCCAGCTTCGGCCCCGAGCTCAGCCTTAGCTTCAGCCCTGAATTGCTTTTGCCCCAGGCCAGGATGGTTTGTCTGGCAGAGAAGGGCATTTGCAACTGGTGGAGTGTGGGGGAGATCATAGGCAGGCAGCAACAGGGGAGACCCACCTATGCAGATCTAGGGGGAGCATAGGAAAGACTGCATAGCTTGCCTCCCTCAGCTGTTCCTTTTCCCCTTTACCTTCTGCTCTGGCTCTGGTCCCTCCAGCCCCAACCTGGCCCAGCCAGGAGCTCCCAGTACTTCTCCCTGGCAAAGCTGGACTGGGGCAAGGCAGGGCCAGGCGGCTGTGGCCGAGTGCCCTGGAGCAGGAGCAGAACTGCAGCAAAGGAGAGAAGGGGGTGGGAGGCATGGAGGGAGAGGTGGCAGGGGTCAGGCACCAACTAGCTTGGTTGATTAATTCAGATATGAACTCAGTATCCTCAGCGCAAGCCGGGAGAGTAGTAACAGCAGTGTGCACGGGTAGGTCTGCTTTATCCTGTTTCTTCCAGTTGCTACACACACGACACAACACGACGCACCTCTTTGCCACCTCCACATCTAAGTTAGACATTGTTTGGATGCCCACTGTAGGGCAATTTGATGTAACTTGCACCATTTGGCCAGTGCCATTCATTCTGAATTTGGCTCAGAGACATTCGCAGCAGGTACACTTGTTTGCTCTTCGGGGTGGGGAAATGCATTTTGCTGAATCTGACTCTTCCTTTCTAATGAACATAGGCTCCCCTCCTAGGAATACCCTGTGGCAGCCAGCAGAAGTGGTTAAAAGAAATTAAGAAAAAGTCTCTCAGGCCTTTCTGAAACCCACACTTAAAAGGAAAATGTCAACTTGAATTTTTTAAACAGACCATTTTTAGGAAGTGCTAATTGCTGACAGAACACTTAAACTAGCATGTTCTGATTTTTTAGCAAGATTCCTTTGAAAACATTTAAAGTTTTCCTGTTCTCTTGTTAAAATTTATAAAATGTAAGGGTCTTTTCATCAAGAGAAAACCTGAGTAAATGGCTGTACAGAGGAAACAGAAGGAGTGATTATACATAGTGGGCTGCCACATGCACAAAATATAAAGGTGAAGAAAACAGAGAATGTCTTTAACTGATACCATTGATTAGTCAGTTAGTTTAGATGTTAACTGGAGGTATAACAGAGCCACTGTCAGGCAGAAGTGGTCTATTCAGGAAAAAACACTGCCTTTTAAGGAAACAGCAAGTCTGAATGCTCACACCAAGTGATTATTGACCAGTCATGCTGGCTATGGAAAAAGCACACACATACAAAATCCCTCCACTTATCACTTACTGGACTGCTTGTACTGTAGTTCACATGTTCTGATTCAACTAAGCCATCACTAACACTCCCACGATTTATAATGAGCTCATGTGTTGGATCCAAGTACCAGAGGGACAGTCAGTGAACTTTGCCCAGTACAGCAGGCGTCCACCTCCCTCCACACCCCCTCCAGCCTTCTGAATAGGAATAAAGTCTTCAATTCCAAAAACAAAGGTTTCACATTTCACCCCAATGCTAAGTTCACATCTTTGCTGGCACGCTGGGACTGGACCAGCAAGCTCTAAATCACAAAGCATTTGTACAACCCCTATACCCTACAGACAGGCCACAAAGCATGGCCTGGTACTTCTACACACATACCTGCTTTGCATCACACTTTGTATAAGTTGCAATTAAAAAGGTCAAATTCCGTACTGAACCATTAACAATAGAAGTGCACGAATTAAGCTTTTCTCACACCTTTGGGAAGCAGCAATATGGAGCCCACTCAGCTGTGCTGGCAAACTGGACTCAGCATTGTTATTGGCATAGAGTCGCGTTGGATTATTGTACTGTACGTTCAACATCTGTTTGCTGTCAGTCGGGCTCCCTCCAGCAGTGTGAGGCACTGGCCTTTTGCTCTGAACAGGTCCATTATCCTATGGGAGAAAAAAGAAAAAAGATGTATAGTTCCTGGTACCAAATAACTGTGCTCTGACTCGTAGACTGGGCTAACATTTGATCCGTTGTCTGTACACAAGTAGAGGAAGACAAAGAAATTGATCAGGAAAAAGGAAGTTCAAACTAGAGCTATAATTTGCTCAGGTTGTGCAGCCTTCATTGGTCTGTAATTAAATATGCTCGAGCGCTTCTCCGGATTTACCACCGCTAAAGATTCTTTACTTTCTCCACAGTGTCAATATTCATTATTTTGTATACCGGAAAGCTGGAGCCCTGATTTGAGTCTCAGCTACACCACTTTCTACTGGAGATACACAAGGGCTGTTCATTTAGGCCACAGCAAATAAATATAGTGCTGCACCAATAAAGATTTTCTTGGCCAATACCAATAAGATAACTGATATTTAGTGTATTTAACGCCATTTCTAAGCATGGGGATGCTGATACAGGAGACATAGTGGCACTTTAATTAGAGCTGCTGTCAGAGCCGCTCTAATTAAAGTGCTGCCCGCCCCCCCCCACACACACACACACTCCCGGAGCACATGTAGAAGTGCCCGGGCCAGTTGCAGCAGGTGGGGCTAACCTAGCAATGCCTGGGACTGGCTGTGCAGAGCCCCTGCCCTTCAGCCCCAGCCTGGGGGCAGCTGGCTGAGCCTGCCTGGCTGCCCAGGGCTGGGTGATTTCAGGCCAGGCTCCTCGCTCTCCTGCCTCTGCCCAGGGCAGGGCCACGGGACTGAATGAACCGGACCCTGGGAAGGGCAGGACCAGCTGGATGGAGGGGCTGGGGAAAGGACCCTGCTGAGTGGTCACAGGGGAGAGAGGTCAGCTTCTGCCAGCCCCTGCTGGGTGGGGAGGGACAGAGTCTCTCCTGAGCTCCTTGAGACGGCGGTGTGTGCGTGACCCGGGGAAGCGGGGTGCGGGGCAGCCGCTGCCTTACCCCTTCTCCTTCAGAGCCCTTGTCCTGCCCCATGCCACCTGGCCACACGAGGGACTTGAGCACCAGTGTGGGGTGAGGCGGGCAGAGCGTGGCTTGTGAAGGGGTGCAGCTGTGAGGGCCTCAACCCATGTAAGGCAGTGCCTACTCTAGTGCCTCGGATGTAAAATGAGCCCCCCAGTGTGCAGGGAGGGAGGAAGAGCCTCTCTTCTCGGATTCGGGGGTGAAAGGAGGCAGGCAGCTGTTGCGGCTCCCACTCACGCCCTGAGCCCAGGTCGGGGCTGGAGTCAGACCCACAGCAGCTGCTTGCCCCCCCCCTGCACCCACTGCCCTACCCCTTATCGGGGACACTGATGCATGAGACACTGGAGCTGCTGGAGCATTGCAATTACCACGCTCCAGCAGACTCAATTAATCGAGTCTGCTCCAACGCACTGAAATTACAGTGTGTCACTGCAGCCTCGCAGCTTGTGTATATGAGCCCTCCATTGTGAGGTACTAGGAAAATGCATATTAGCTCGGCTTAACGTGCATTAACTAAAGTGAATGCTTTTTAAGTGACACTTAATGTGCATTATCCTAGTTTAATGCCCATTAAGTATAAAGCATGTTTTTTTATGTGATGCTTTAATGCATATTAAAATAGGCTAATAAGCATTAAGGGGCACATGTAGATGTGCTGTATATATATCCATGCAAGCCCAATTAATGTGTGCATTAAGGGAAGAATGGACTCCTACGTGAGAGATGTGGTATTATGCTCATTTATACACTCAGTTTTCAATATTCTTGTATACCAGGGCTCATGGGAAAAAAAAAAAAAAAAAAAAAAATCAAGAAAGAAAGAAAGAAAGAAAAGCATATTGTCAACAAACAATAGAATACATGGTTGGGGCTGTAGTAGGTTTACTTGACTGTTAGGAAACAAATGTGCATCATTGGTACGTACAATACGGGCACATAGTGTAAAAAGCCCCTCAAACAAACTGGTAAGAAAAACAAAAAACAGATCCAACTAGAGAAAAAGTTTCCAGGAATCCAATCCTGGGGATCTCTTGAACAAAAAACTCCCATTGATGTCAATGGCACTATTGTCCTAGTACAGGGGTGGGCAATTATTTCGGGCAGAGGGCCGCTTACTGAGTTTTGGCAAGCCAGAGGGCTGCATGACAGGCAGCCAGAGGCAGATAAATATTAATTTTCTAAATTCTGGGAGGGCCCCGCAGGCTGGACAGAATGGCCTGGCAGGCCACATCTGGCCCATGGGCCGCATTTTGCCCACCCCGTCCTAGTAGGTAGGGCTAACAAGGGCTTTCAGTGACTGATCCTAAAACCATTAAACATGTGAGATACACTGGACTTGGTAAGACTGCGAGAAGGCAACACAAGTTTAAAATCAGCACAAAATTGGGGATTTCCCTGTAATATTATTTCAGAGAAACTGAGATGTCAGGCAGGATTGTTTCCAACATCATAATTACTCCAAAATAATCTGTTCTATTCCCATTAGGGAATAAAATCATTTTTAAAACTGTCCCCGAATTATATTCTCTAAGAAAATGATTACCAAGCCATTGCTCCCAATTCCTAGATTTATGGTACTATTTTCAAGGAAGTTAAGCAAACACTTTCTTCCATGCCAAAAAGGGAAATGGATAATCATAAATGTTTGAGGAAAAGCAACTGCACAAATTGGCTAGAAGATACATAACATTTAGTAATCAACTAGGATTATATCTGCTGACACTTTTACTGTACATGTCTCTGGAAGATAGGCCTGACATTGCATGGCACTGAATGCTATCCTTTCTGAGTCCAGGGTCCAGCCAGCACAGCTCTGAGAGGGGTACGGCAGTTTGGGATCTTGGACCAACAGAACCGTGCCAGTGACAGCCTCTGGTTTAGGCCATTTTACCCACAAAACTGTGCTTTTACTGTTACAGGTTGTTTTGCTCCAGGGATGGGCACGTCCATGCTTGGAGCCCCTTGTCAATGTACCATGCTAGTAAGGCTAAGGGAGAAGCTAGCACCTGATCTTAGTTAGCCGAGGAAGGGGGAAACCACAGAGCCACGTCCGTCGGCTGGTCGGGTTTAGCACTGAGGTCTGGCAGTGCTGTTTTACAAGGATGAGCAGCTCAGAAGGGTGCCCGTGCAGATGCATGTGCAGTTCCTAAGGGAGTCAGGATGAGGCAGTATGTGTTTGTGGGGAGCAACTGGATTTTGAGTCTTTGGGCTAAATTCTCCTTTCTACAAAGAGACAGAGCAGGTCTGTTAATGGACTACCTGAGCGCATCATGCCAGAGGCTCTCGCCCTCCCCTCCCCGGGTGTGAACCTAGAGGCAGAGGACACTGCCTGCACCCAGGGAAACACTGAGAGGCCTGAGAAAGAGCTGAGGTACCTTGTGGGGCCGGGGCCAATCCCCCTGTGCAGGGTTAGAGCTTTTCCTTGGTTGGAAACGCACAGGAAACTTTGCTAGGCCACCCCCCTGGACTTTCCAGCACTCATCCCTCATCTTGTGTGTTCTTCCCTACAAGGGATGGTGGGCTGTTTAGCACAGAGGTAACAGAATTAAGGGTTTGGGTTTTTTTGGGACTAAATGTTCTTTAAAAAAAAGGAGTGTAGAAAGCTATGATCTCAATGGATTCCTTTAATCCCAGGCAGTTTGTAAACCTTCAAGCATTTGTTTTTGTTAAATAACAATGATCTGTAAAATCAATAACAAATGTTTCTATAAAACTCTAAAAATTACTGCTTTGACACTTTCCAAACTGCATAAAAAAAATCAGCGTTGGACACCAATGCTGAGCCAAGTCTCCTGTCTTGCAGTCCTGTGATTTTAAACACCAACTTCTCAGAGTCCTGTGGGGTCCTCCCCAGTGCTGTGCTGCCAGACTGTACGGCCTCGGACCAGTTTCTGTGTGAAATAGTATTAGTCGGATTGAAAGAACAAATGACTCTTTTACAAGAGATGCCTTCCCTCACGGTGGTTTTGTGGCTGGATTGCAGCTCAAGATGGTCACTCTGCGCGAGGAGAAGCAGATCCTTTTTGATCCTACGTTGCTTCTAAAAAGTCCTACTCTGTACCCCAGAAGAGATACTCTTCTCAAATTAAAATGAACCAGTTTGTTTCCAGGCAGGATGCCAGCTGCAGGGAACAGTTCCTTGTAGCAGTGAGAGAAATCAAATACTCCTGGCTTTTAAAGTGTTCTTTAAAGCAATCAGATTGAGTATATTTTTTATATTGGTCCTTAAAGCCAGACAAACATTTCAACAAAGTGCCTAATCC